GGGAGCCCGATGCGGGGCTCGATCCCAGGACCCCGGGATCATGACCTGAGCCGAAGGCAGACGCTTAACGACTGAGCCACCCAGGTGCCCCGAAAGTACAATTTTAACAAGAGCCATTGTTTGCCCACTTTTAGGACAGATGCTTATTCACCACTAAAAACAGGCTGACCTTTGCAGTCAAGACCCCAGAGCCTCCTTCTGTGAATGTCATACACTGTTAGGGTTTAGTTTACAAGAGCAATATATATGCAGAAAGCTGACAACTATTGTGTGGCTTCTGTTTACCTGAGCGTGAAAATAGCCTTCATTTCAGGGATATAATCATTGAAAATTTAAATGCATTTTGATCTGAAATGGCTGGGGGCAAGCCTGCCTTACTGGCCTAAGAACAGCCTCCGTTGACATAGCAGGATATCTGTCATCCCAGACCACAAATATTTTTGAACCAAGGGAAGTTTTGTTCTTAAGAGAACTGAAAATAAGGGCGCCTGGGTGGTTCAGTCATTAAGCGTCTACCTTTGGCTCAGGTCATGATCCCAGGGTCCTGGGATCGAGTCCCGTGTGGGTCTCCCTGCTCAGCAGGGAGTCTGCCTCTCCCACTCCCTCTGCCCTTGTCCCTGTTTGTACCCTCTCTCTCTCTCTGTCAAATAAATAAGTAAAATCTTTAATAAAAAAAAGGGAACTGAAAATAATGAACAGAAATCATGGGCTTTTCTGGCTAACCTCATTTTAGAGGTTATGAAATTAATGTGTTTCTTAAGTTAGGATTTTATTGAGGCCAGCATTTTTTCAGTGTCACTTTAAAATACAAATGTGAGACCTACAGCACATCTCGTCACTTGTTCTCTCTGTACACTTATTTCTATAGCGGACACGATAACTCCCGTCTACCCATTGTCACCAAGCGTCAAGGGAATCAAGTGAGGAAATGGCTTCTCACACCACAGTGGTTGGACCACCACGGCTCTCTGATTGCTGAGTCTTGGACTGTGCAGAGCCACCAGCTAGCTTTGGGCCACTTGCATGACTGATCAGTGGCAATTTAAAATGATATTTTCATATCAACAAACATGGTTTGAAGTCGAATTTAACGTTTTACATGACTTTTTATGGCAAAGTATTGGACTTCCAACAAGTATTACAAGTGTAGGAGGCAATTTAAGTTCTATTTTGTTTCCACCGCCCAGAGGTCAACTACCATGGGGCTATGTTGAAGGAGATGTTTATGTGGCATTTATATATCTGTTAGCACTTTGAAAAACTGTAAGACGCCATGGCAATGTGAAGTGTTTTTGTTATGAAGCTTACTCACATGTGGTTCATAACTCAAAATCATTAGGAAATTTGCCTCTTCCTTGCCCCCACCCCCTTTCCTCTTTACTGACTTCCCGCCCCCCGCCCCGCTCTCATCTGTGCAGGATACCTGTCACCTAGGCCACCTATGTTTGCCATAAATGTCCTCCCAGATGTGCTCTCTTTGGAAAGCATTCCAGTCTCTTATTTTGCTCATAAACCCTCCAGGCCTCATATGTTGGTGTCTCCCTTCCCCCTAATAGTGCCCATTGCTTTCCAAAGACAATAGAAATGAATTCAGCTGGTCTTCTGCACTAGCGGATGTTCGTAAGTTTATGTCTTACTTCATATGTAATGCACTTAACTTTTAGAAATTTTGCTAGCACTGATCAAAAAGACGGTTCTCCTACTTGCAATATCACACCCTGTGGCTCCCTGGGAGAAAGACCACTTTAGAAGGTCAGGTCTTCTTTAGAGGCACAAGGTCAGTATTTGCGAAGCTCTAGGCCTCAGATTCTCAAACCCACGTTTCTATAAAGCCCCTATAGGATGTTACCATAAAAACCATACTTCACATCAGTTTTGGAGAAGTCATTCTTACCTGGTACCAGGTCACATTTGGACTTTGTGCATCAGTTTGGCAGTTGAAGCTAGGGCAATGAATATAGTCAATGCTACCAAGAAGAAGGTATTGCTCATGTGATACAGAGTTATTTGGTATACAGGATAGATTTGTCTTAGGCTTAACTTCTAAGATGGTCTTGACACAACAGGCCTCATCCCGAGGGCTCCTAGGAGAGTTAACAAGGTCCTGTGAACATAGATGTTATATCCAGGTAATATAGGATTTGGGAATGTTTTCATATAAGAATGCACTTGGGACATACCTAATCCTGGGTCTACATATATATGACCCAGCATTATGTATTCCTGTAGTCAAAAAGTGTAGGGTGCTCTTCTGGATGATGTGAGCAGAGTTGTTAGTTATTTCCCGTAATGGATCTCCATTTTGAGGTTGTAAGTACCACTGGACATCAGGTAAGTCCTTATGACCACTGTAGGGCAAGTTTTCAGAGCCTTGGGTTGGTGAGAGTTGACTTCTGTGGCACGACTCCGTTAAGCCACAAAATAAGACAAACTGCTCACTCATTGAAGAATATTCCCAAAGCAGTTTCTTGGTGAAGCAATCTGAAAACCACAAGAAACAAAGCAACAGAGAGATGCATTAGAAGATGAAACTCTCCCTTGGCAATGAGTTTTTGGACATGACATCTAAAGCACAAGCAACCAAATAAAAAAGTGTTGGGGGGCGCCTGGGTGGCTCAGTTGGTTAAGCGACTGCCTTCGGCTCAGGTCATGATCCTGGAGTCCCGGGATCGAGTCCCGCATCGGGCTCCCTGCTCGGCGGGGAGTCTGCTTCTCCCTCTGACCCTCCCCCCTCTCATGCTCTCTGTCTCTCATTCTCTCTCTCGCAAATAAATAAATAAAATCTTTAAAAAATAAAAAATAAAAAAAAAATTAAAAAGTGTTGGGTGCCTGGGTAGCTCAGTCGTTTAAGCGTCTGCCTTCAGCTCAGGTCATGATCCCAGGTGTCCCGGGATCGAGTCCCGCATCGGGCTCCCTGCTCGGCGGGGAGTCTGCTTCTCCCTCTGACCCTCCCCCCTCTCATGCTCTCTGTCTCTCATTCTCTCTCTCGCAAATAAATAAATAAAATCTTTAAAAAATAAAAAATAAAAAAAAAAATAAATAAAAAAAATCTTTAAAAAAAAAAAATAAACAAGTAGAACTACATCAAACTAAAAAGCTTCTGCACAGCAAAAGAAATGATCAACGAAATGTAAAGATGATCTACAGAATGGGAAAAAATATTTTCAAACCATGTATCTAATAAAATATATGATTAACATCCAAAATACATAAAGAACACATACAACTCAAAAGCAAAATCAACAAATAAACAAGAACAAACAAACAAACAAAATCCCCCGAATAAGCCAATTAAAAACGGGCAATGAATCTGAATAAGCATTTTCCAAAGAACATATATAATTGAACCACAGGTACGTGAAAAGATGCCCAACATCACTAATCATTAAGGGACTGCAAATCAAAACCATAGTGAAATATCACCTCACACCTGGTAGGATGGCTTATCAACAAAAGACAAGAGATAAGAAATGCTGACAAGGGGGTGGGGAAAGGGAACCCTTGGGCACTGCTGGGATTATAAATTGGTATATCCATTATGGAAAAACAGTATGGAGGCTCCTCAAATAAATGAAAAATAGAACTACCATATGATGCAGAAATTTCATTTCTGAGAATATATCTAAAGGAAATGAAAACACTATGTCGAAGAGATATTCTGCACCTCTATGTTCACACCAGCATTATTCACAATAGTCAAGATATGGAAATAACCTAAGTGTTCATCAACAGATGAATGAATAAAGAAGTTGGACACACACACACGAATATTATCCAGCCATAAAAAAGGAGGAAATCCTGCCATTTGCAACAACATGGATGGACCTTGAGGGCATTATGCTAAGTGAAATGTCAGACAGAGAGACAAATACCATATGATGTCACTTATATGTGGAGTCTCAAAAAAAAAAAAAACAAAAAAAAACAAAAGCAAACTTATAAACATAATAAAAATAGAGAAAGAAAGAAAAAGAAAGTGAAATTTAGTAACATTAAAAAAAAAAGAAAGAAAGAAAAGTGGAGCCTGGGTGGCTCAGTTGGTTAAGCAACTGCCTTTGGCTCAGGTCATGATCCTGGAGTCCTGAGATCGAGTCCCACATCAGGCTCCCTGCTCAGTGAGGAGTCTGCTTCTCCCTCTGACCCTCCCCCCCATGCTCTCTCTCTCTCTCATTCTCTCTCTCTCAAATAAAAATAAATAAAATCTTTTTTAAAAAAAGAAAGAAAAGAAACTGAACAAATAAAATTATCTAGTATTATTTTCAGTGTCCAACCATGAAAAAATAAAACAAATAATAGAAAAAAAAAGAGATCAGGTTTGTGGTTACCTGAGGCTGGGTGGGGAGTGGGGAAATTGGATAAGGTGGTCAAAAGGCACAAACTTCCAATTATAAGATACAGAAGTACTGGGAATGTACTGGAGAACACAATGACTATAGTTAACACTACTTACTGTATGATAGATCTGAATGTTGTTAAGAAAGTGGGTTCTAAGAGTTCTCATCACAACTAAAAAATGAGGAAGCTTCTTTTTTTTTGTCCTTTTTTTGGGGTAGCTATATGAGATAATGGATATTAACTAAGCTTACTGTGGTAATCATTTCACTCTACTTGTAAGTCAAATCATTTTGCTGTGCATCTTAAATTTGTGCCGTGCTGTCTGTCACTTACATCTCAACAAAAGTGGAGGAGAAAAAGATCAAAATCTAACTTACATTTACAAAGAGCATATGATTTAATGAGGAATTAAGCTCCCTTGTCTGTCTTCTTCACTGCTTCCATTTAGAAGATCATGTTTTAACTCCCTCCCAATGGACTTGAGCCTCATTCCTCTTCAGCTGCTCCCACTGAACACCCAGCTACCATAACTGGGCTCCTCATTGATGCTTGGTATCAGCAGAAAGTTGTTCACCCCAGTAATTTCTCTCTTCCTGCACCCACCTCAACAGTAGGAAGGAAATGCTCTGTATTAATAAGTCAAGCTGCTGATATATCAGATTATCTGTCACTTTAAACTCTGACCACAAGACTCACAATGTTAACATGAAAAGTGAAAACCCTACCTGAAATAGTCATTCCTTTAATTCTCTCTCTTGTGACAAGCCAAAGAAATATCCAGCTCAAATAAAGCATTGTTCTCCCTGGGTCCTGTCATCACTTCAGTGAATTTGCTCTGTTGACAGGCTGCGGTACGTTGTGTTTCAGAGCTCCTCCCTGAGAATCGTCTTCATTTCTGGAAGTCAAGAAATGAGAAATGAAGAAATTAGAACCAGTGATCAAAATATAAGTCACACAGGAAGCTTTGAAAGGGGCGGGTCCTACCCAAATGCACCTTCCCATGCCCACAATGGTATGTGTCATTTCTTCTACATCTATGGGAGGGAGAGTGTCTCAAGCTCATGGTAACCACTTGGACCTCTGCACTATACCGTGTGTTCTTTTGGTGCCATTTCTTCAAGGAATTCTTCTTTTTCTTCTTTTTTTCCTCTTAATGTTATCACCTAGCATGTATATTTCCATGAGTGATTTGGAAAAAGTTAAATGAAACTCTTCCTGAAAAGGTGACCCGAGTTGATTAAAAATGTCAGGATCACCACAGTTCCGGAACCCTATGCCATAGTTCATACGTATAAAATTTGAGAATGTCCACATGTCTGTTTTATTTACTTTATTATTTGTATGAACTATTAGAGAATAGACTCTCTGTTCCGCAAATAAGAAAGGAAAAGTTGTCTTTTTGGACAACTGGATAGCAATACTACTGTATTACTCTGTGTATCACTCTTGGGGTTGGTTGTAGGAATAAGGAACTTTATCTAAAAATCTGCCCTAAAACACTCCAATACTGTCTTAGGCTCTTTAAAGTGAAGGGGGGCTGGGGATGGGGGACAAAACAATCCTCTGAAATAGAAAAGGTGAGGGAGCAAGATCACCTGAAGAGAGAGAACGAGAATCTGGCCTGTGTTCGTGGCACTTTTGTCTCCCTTATTGATAGGGTGGCCATTGGAATTTTCAAACCATTTGTAAGAAATGAGTGATAAGGATACTGCGTGGGTGTCTTAGTCCATTTGGGCTGGTATACCAGAATACCACATGGTGGGTGGTTTATGCACATTGGAAATTTATTGTTCACAGTTCTGGAGGCTGGGAAGTCCAAGATCAAGTCACCAGCATGGTGGTATTCTGCTGAAGGCCCTCTATCTAGTGCATGGTGCCTTTTCACTATGTCCTCATGTGGTAAAAGTCGCTAGAGATCTCTCTGGAGTCTCTTTTATAAAAACACAAATCCTATTCATGAAGGCTCTACCCTTATGACCTAAGCAACTTCCAAAGACCCCACCTCCTAATACCATCATTAGTGGTATCATCTTTAAAGGTTAGAATTTCAACATATGAATTTGGAAAGTCCAGAATAGTGTTAATATTTGGTTATTGATTAATGTTGTCTTGAGCAGAAAATAAAAGTAATTTTGCTATATGACTGTTTAATCTGTCCTTTTAGAGTCCTGAACTATTATCACTAACATAAAAAGTACTCGATATTACTCTGTGTGTTACTTTTGGGGTTATGGGAATGAGAAGACTTACCCCTGAACTTTGCCTAAAAATTCCCCCTAAAACACTCCCATGCTCTCTCAGACTCTTTAAAGTTGGGGGAGCGTGGGACAAAATAAACAGTATGATCCCTGTCCTCAAACATCTGTCACAATATGAAGAACTTTGTGAAATAAAAAATTATTCTGACACTGATTGAAATAGTCAGAAAGACTTTTATTCAAGACTATGGCAATAGGGGAGAGAAATCAAGCTCAACTCAGAAGACAATAAGAACAGGGGAGGATATAGCCAAGGAGCAAGGTGAGGGGGTTCAGGGGCTGGAAAGTTACTAAGGAAACATCAAAGTAGAGGAATTCTTACTAAACTGACCTAACAGAGCTCTTGCTCAAGGTGAGTCAAGGACTTAGATATTGAGGGTAGGAGGATGACTTAACAGGGCTCTTTGCTAAGACTGGGCTAGTAAGACCAGACATACAACTGGGGAGGGGTTTGAGGCCTAGTGGAGAAGAGGTCTCAGAGAAGCCTGACTAAAATTTGGTCAGGAAGAGAGTCTTTGTCAACACAAACATGCAAATAAGCAATTACAGGAGGATGCAAGAAAAAGAGAAGGAAAGAAAAGAAAGGGGAAAAAAGGAAGAAAAGTTACATGAAATGTCACTTGGCCCTTTAAAAACCTTCCCACAATACCCATGTTCTTTAGGAAGCCCACAGAATCAATCTCTCTCTCTTTCCACATCTAACCAGCCAAGCAAGTTCCTCTCCTCACCCTCCCTGCCTTCCCTGGCCCTTCCTGTGACCCCCTGCCTCCACTGCCAACCTTCCCAGAATCTTTCTTTCCAGGAATCTTCATTTTTTTCTCATAAATACATACTGGGGTTTCCTCATCTTATAAAATTCTTCATTTCCGACCAGTTTCCAACACACACACACACACACCCCATATCTCTAACATCTTCAGATGCAGGAAGGAGAAATTTTATTATCTATAATTTTTTATTAATAAATAATGTTTCTCTTAATTTAAAAAAATGTTTTAAAAGATTTTATTTATTTATTTGCCAGAGAGAGAGAGAGCACAAGCAGGGGGGTGGCAAGCAGAGGGAGAAGTAGGCTCCCCGCTGAGCAGGGAGCCTGACTCGGGGCTCGATCCCAGGACCCTGGGATCATGACCTGAGCTGAAGGCAGATGCTTAACGACTGAGCCACCCAGGCGCCCCAAGTAATGTTTCTCTAACAGAAGCATTGAACTTGAGGTGTCTTTGGGGCCCCAGTTGGAGCACTACAAAGGCAGCCGGGTGACTCAGAAAGGCTTCTGGGGGTCAACGGCATGGAGAAGAGTTCAAGCTAGGAGCATCTGTAAGCTGCAAGGAAAGGGCAGACAGATTTCCTTGAAGAATACCAGCCCGGAGAGGTTAGGTCAGGGCCAAGGCTGAAATGAAAAAGAATAAACCCAAAAGGAAGAAAAGAAACAGAACACGGAGACCATCCTGATACTAAGCACAGAGAAAGTCTGGAGGCAAAAATGGGATGTCAGCATCAGAAGCTATAGAGTTGGCATGAAAAGGACTGAGAAGTGTCCTCTAGGTTTGGCTCCAATAGATCAGATCAGCTTGTGTGGGGTGCCGGGGGTTAGCTGACAGGGAGCAGCACAAGAAAAGGAAGTAACGGAAGGAATGTGAGGGGTGGGGACAAGCCCCGTAGTCCACAGGCTACACCGTGCAGGGAAGCCAGAGTTTGAGCATTTGTTGACAAAGGCAGAGCTTAGACACCATTCAGCTGTGAGGGGAATGAGTGAGCAGGTTGGCAGGTCAAGTACAAGTGAGAGTGAGGAAGTAGGAAGAGGTAGAATCCCTAAAACCATGGAGAGATCAGGCTTGGACAGGAGGCTGCAGAGCCATGCAGGGTGGGAAGGTCTATCCAGACCAGTTTACCCAGCTGGGGATCAGAGTACTGGTGGCTGACCTGTTGAGAGGAGAGCACGCTCAGGGGAGGAGAGGCTTCATGAGATGGTGGAGCACCTTGAAGAGAGCCATGCACGGGGACTAGAGTCACTGCACTGTTTATCCCCATTGGTGACAACGGGTGGCTCTTCTTACAAGGACTATGGTCGAGGAACAAGACAGGATCAGCAACTGCCTTTTGAGATGTGGTCTCCCCTTCACCTTTCTTTCCTTTCCCTCAAAGAATAATCTCCCCATCTCCAACCTCTAGAAGTATCTTCCTAAAAAGCAAACCTGAGCATGCCATTTCCATGCTGCAGACTTTCTTTGGTGTCCGGTCCTTGTGCTGGAGTCCCCGTTTCTAGTGGGGCCTTGGGTTGCTTGGTCGGTTGGGCGTCTGCTTTTCGCTCTGGTCCTTCTCTCTGTGTTGTTGTCTTTCTTTCTCTGTTTGTCTTTCTGCTCAGTGGGTAGTCTGTTGATTCTGTCTCTCCGTCTTTCTCTGTTTGTCCCCCTGGCGGGTTGTGGAGACTTTCTCGCTCTCTCTGTCTCCCTTTCTGTAATTTAAAGGCATTAATCTTTCAAGGAGTCCATTTCTGTCCTTGTTTGCGGAGTGGTGTGGGCTTTTCTTTTTGTCTTTTTTGTCTTGTGTCGTCTTTCTTGTCTCGTGAGATCTTTTCTGTCCATTTGTCTCATTGAGCGGCTCCGTCCGTCCTCACTCTTGGCGTTTCCAGTGGCCATCTTGTTGCTCCTCTTGTATTGCTTTGTGTTCTCTGCTATTGTGGTCTCTGCTTTTGTTTTTTTAAATATTTTTTGTTTGTGAGGCCTGTGTGTGTCTGTGTTTTTGCGTGTGTGTTTTGGTCTGGTGTTGTTTTCCGGGTGTTGTGTTCTCGTGCCCCTTCTTGGTCTTTGTTCTGTGCGGGGCGTGTTTTTCTCTCTCTCTCTGTTGTTCTCCCTGTTTTTGTTCTCTCTCTCTCTGTGACATATATATAAATCTTTTAAAAAAAAAAAAAAAAACTTATGCCCCTACAAGAATTGAAATTCCATGCCAGTAGGAGCTAGGTCTGTCTTTTCCAGCCTGCATGCTCTCTCCAGGAATAGTACCAGGCTAACAAGAGGGCCTCAGTAACTCCTTGTTCATAATTTACCCACACCGCAGTATCATTGTTATCTTGTATGCTGTGTTCTCCCACTAGACTGGGAGCTCAAGAGCAGGGATCTTGTTTCAGAAATCTTAGCTCCAAATCCCAGGACAAAGCTTTATGTATGAGTCACAATCAGTTCTGTTGTCCAGATAAATGCAAAACACTTCAGGAGGAGTCAGGACAAATGCATATCAATCTAGGTTTGACCATTAATTTGTTGTGTGACTCCAGTTAAGACACTTAACCTCTCTCTGTACTTCAGTTTTCTTATCTGCAAAATGAATTATTTGGGCTGTATCAGATTCCCTACCTCAGAGCTAGGGAATCTGAAGTTCTGGGGTTTAAACTAGGAAATGTGTATTTTTTTTTTAAAGCTCCTTGGCTTGGGAACCGTGAGAACATGATTGCTAAAATCATCTCAGCTCTAACATTTTGTGATTCCATGTTTGAATGTCGAAGCCTATAGCTAATTGGTTACCATATCCAGCAGCCTCCAAACCTCACGAATGTCCAACCCAACCTTGAGCCACCAGAAGCTCTCTCCATGATGTACTCATCTGCTGGCTTACGACCTCAGGCTGCCTGGAGCTG